TGTGTGTGTGTGTGTATGTGTGTGATTTAGTTAAATATTATCTCTTAAATTTAGTAAATTCATATCAATTATTTTATTGTTTGAAATCATTTTAAAAAATCAACTCATTTAAACCTAAACAGTTAATTATGGCATGTCCTACATAGAAATTTTCTTATTTAAGAAAAATGTTCATTAATTTATTAAACTAATTTTAATATATTTAAGTAAAACTTGTAAAAAAGCATTGTGAAATATCATCACTTGTTTGATAATTGTACTATTTATAATAATTAGTCCTATGCAATAAAGTAAAGATTTTATTAATTTTTAATATTATAAAAATGTAAGATAAAAATGTAATATTAATTTATTCATTATAGTTGGTTTTAAAAATTTATCATAAACTATTATTCTAAAAAGAGGAGGGAAAAAAATCAATAAAATTCTATAAAAAGGTAACCAAATGGTAAATAAAAACTGAATATTATCTAGAAACAGCAATTACTATAAATTTATGATAAATATAAAAAAATTATCATGAAAACATAAAATTACAGTATCAGTTTCAAAAATGTTTACATTATAAAATATTCAAAGAAGAAGAGATTTGAAATGTTCTTTGTTCCAGAAACAATATAGAGAATTTATCAAATAATGAATTATTATAACATCTAATTGCTATTTTTTACTTTTAGGCAAAATTGTATATTTTTCTAATATCTGGTCTGTTTATTCTTTTTTTAATCCTATTGTTTTCTGTGCATAATATTCTGTAAAACTTATTTATGAAAGAAAACTGAAATATTTAATTTTGATAGAATAAATAATCATATGATGTAGACAATTTGTATATCAGATACCATCATTTCATATGGAGAATTAACATTTTCCTTTTCAATATTAAAAAAAAAAAAAAACTATTTTCCAAAACATATATTTATTTAATTCAAATCTCAAAACAAATATAAAAACCTAAGATATTATTCACATAGATCATGAAAATAATATCTTAAGTTTAGGTGATCTGGGCTTATTAAAGTTTTCCATTTGCAACTTTCTTTTACCCAAAAAAATTTTACACGATCTCCAATATATAGATATATAAAATAGGTATACAAATAAACTCATTTACTGATACTAAATCATAAAACAATTATTCCAAAACAGTTTTTTGATACATATATTAACCACTTACTGAAGAAAAAGCAAATTTGCATACTGATGAGATGGATGTGCTTGTTTATTTTTAAATAAATAATTAAATATTGGCTGAATATTTGATTTTATAATTGTTATTACTGAAAATGCTACTATGCATAAATACATAAGACAAAATTTTACTGTTGTCAAATTTTTCATGATCCCTACATTCATTTACATGACCCCTTTTTGGGGTCACAACCACTGTTTAAGAAGACCTGATTTTGATCAATGTTTCTCAACTTGTGGATTAAAGTAGATCACAAAAGGAAATTTATTTCATACCTAAAATTAACACAGATACTTTTAATGTAAAATGGTGCCTCATACTTCAAATTTAATTCATTTCAGGAGGCCATTCATACTCTGAATTGATCAAAGTCTGAATCAGTATTTCCCTTTAGAAATAATGAAAAGAGAATCAACCCACTCCCAGGTCTTAAAAAATACCCATTTTGGTAAATTTAAAGCAGCAAATATGCATAATTGAAGATAAAAAATAACACATAAATGCCCTAAATAATAAATTAAAACATGAAAACAATAAATAAAATACATAAATACTGCATTTACTGGTTGCATACTGTTGACTTTGGCATCTTAAATATGGCCATCAGGTGTACTAGTTTCATGCTTCACAATAAGTTCCTTTATCAACCCAATCATTGATATAACAACCTTCTTCCACAACACTTCTCCAATGCCACTATTAACAAGTAGGGGTTATATTAGGTTGAACAGAAAGTTTTTGTGTATTTTTAACAGCTGTGATTACTTAATATATGTGATTGAATTATGACAGTTGTGAAATTTAACACAAAATTATTAATGTGATATTGTATTCCTTGTTTAAAATCTTATTTTAGACTTTTTACTTCACATTTTGTTTGAATAAAATAAATTTGAATGTCTTCAGATAATAAGCATATCAGACATATTATAGTATGAGTTTCAGAAAGGATATAATGCTGTACAAACAGTAAAAAAGATTCATAATGTGTGTGAAGAAGATAAATTTAAAATGTGTCAAATATGGTTTAAAAAGTTCCATTCAGAAAATTTTGAATTAAAAGATACAAAATAAATGGGGCATCCAAAAGATGCCAACAAGAAAAAATTACAGGAAAAATTGTTAAAAATAAATGAATAATAATACAAAATATGTATAACTAAATATGTCAAAAATAAAGTAAAAAATATGCATTAAAAATAGTATGAAAAGAACATAATGCAAGAACTGAGTGAGAGACAACTTGGGTGCACAACAGATGGCATTTACACTTTGAGCACATTTTCCACTGTGCACACAGTTTGAACTTAGAATTGTTCAAAGTATGAGGTACCACTGTATTAAGAATTCATTCTTCACACATTTTTAATTTTTTTTAAAAAGAACTAAAGCCCAATGATAAATAATAATAACAAACTACTTTTATTAAAACAAAAAATTCATCTATCATTCTGAAAACTTTTACATTAAATCACAAAATGATTTCTAAAATTTATACATGTTAGAATCAGAAAAAAAAAATGAAATTAAAATGTTACATAATAGATGAGTAATTGATATAGTTATATCAGATAATATTACAAAATATTATTTTTTATTAATATTTGGCAGAACAATTTATGTCAAATTTTAATAAGAAAAAAATTGTTAATAAGAAATAAATATTTCATTATTATATATATTCAATATTTTATTGAAACTTGTATTTCTTTTACTCTAGTTAAAAAAAACCTGAAACATTGCACAAGAATATCAAATAAATTAACTGTTTAAATAATAAACAGAAAACTGACTATAAATCAATATTAAATATACTACTTTAAAATCAAATATTGATAACAATAACCAGTATAATTTGTAAAAATCTTTTGTCTGAATATTTTTAGGGATACAGGGCTCTCATAATTAGATATAATTAACACCACAAAACAATTTTTTAACCTTATTCTATTCTTTTATTTCTATTTCTAAATAAAATATTTCTAGCTAAAACTGAATTCAAAATTTGAAATTTAGCTAGAAATATGTGTAATATTTGATACTTGAATGTAAAGATTAATAGGGGCTTAAAAATTGTTTTTTTGATAATTATAGCCTACAATGAAAAGCAACATTCTTAAAATGTTTTGACAGAAGAAAAGAAGACTTCTCCAAGTTAAAATGATTATTTTTATTGTTTTTGAGAATATAACAAAGCTAAAGTATTAAATTAGTTAAAACAAAATGTTATGAATTTTTTGTTACATGTGAGTGATACTTTTATTGAATTAAAAGCTTAATTACCTGTATCTGACATACTAACAGGAACAGCATTTCTAAGTCCATTTTCAAATGAGTTATCTTCTTGAGAAAGATTTCTGTAATGAGCAATTGATGCTGCTCCTAAATGTGCATCCATATCTACAGGTCCAAAACGTCCAACAGATCTATGGCTAGATAAATCAACAGGACTACTTTCATAACCACTGCCACGATGTTCTGAAGAAGCATTATGTTGTGTTTGAGAATGAAGTAAAGAGTTTGAATTATGATGTCCTAATACATCTCCATTAATTTGCATATGATTCACAGACTGTTGAGAATGTTGTGACTGACCAAGTTCCATCATCATGTTCTGTCTATGACTATTAGAATCCTAAAAAATCACAAATAATAAGTATANAAGTGGGTCCTTGCAGCTAGTTCAATAATAAATGTACAGTATACACATTTATTATTTTGTGAGTTTGTTTCTGTGGAGGGTTTCTTTTTGAGGAATAGAGAGCTCTCTTTATAATATACAATAATTTTCTTTATTTTGCAACCTTTAAAAACATAAAAATTATGGCCTTTAAACAGAAAAGAACTTTCTACTTGTGATGTTACTGCATGTGGTAAATTCATTAAAAATGCACTAATACATTTTATGACTTTTATGTTTGCTTTAAAACACTTTTGAAATCAATTACACATGTCCAATAATATAAATGATAATTAATAGGGTTTCTCAAACAGGATCTCGGCTGTGTTTTTAACCCGGAAAATTCTTCTCATCCTGGGAAATCCTGCAAATTTCTTAAAAGTTCACTTTTTTCTTATTTTGTGTTAAAGTTGAGGAAATTTTGCAAATAAAAGTATAATTAATTCATAAATGGTCAGAATACATTTGTATTTATTAATTTTAAACCTACTTATTAGTTTTTTAAATTTTTGCTTATTATGGCATGTCATAAGTGGTCAATAATCAATATGTGGCTTATTTGAGGCAAGACTCTGAAAATTCTTTACTTGTCAGAACCTGTAATATCTGGAATAATTGTGCCGATGCTATCGTAATTTTAACTATACCCAGTAGCTTCAATAACTGCATTATGCCAAGTTGTGCAAATTGGGCAAGGATAGAAACAAGTACAAAGTCTGCAAGTATGAAGTTTTTCTTCATAAACCTGATTATTAAAGGCCAAACAAACTGCCAAATTATTGGGCTATAAGCTTGATACCGCTATTAAAGCAGCCAGGATAAACAAATCAAGAATACTTGAGAGCAAGGCTGTGGAGTCACGTAAAAATCTACCGACTCCAACTCCAACTCAGACTTTTCCTTACCATCCGACTCCAACTCCATTTCATATACATAACAAGTTGGTAAGTAAAAAGGGAGTCAAAGTCGGCAGATTTTTTGACGACTCTGACTCCGACTCCGGCCAAAACACCAAAACTCTACGACTCCGACTCTGACTCCACAGCCCTGCTTGAGAGCAAAAGAAGTACTGAGATGCATCTCAAAAATGAACTAGAAATCTTTGAGGCTATGGGTGAAAAAATACAATACATTTAAGAGAAGATAAATGTTACAAAGAGGATATCCATTGAATTGGAAAGGGCACTCTCAGTAGCGGGACTTTTCATTATTAAAATAAGAACTTGATGAAGTGATCGGAGTATTGACCGTTTTTGGTTTTCAAAATCTTATAAAAATTTACAATAATATTTTGTGTTATATTTTATTTAAAAAATGAAAATTACCTTCTAAGTTATAAGCTTGATCTATGTTCATTTTTTCTTTAAATTTTCAACTCAATTCAAAGGCTTTTTTTTTGTAAGCAATTTCCAACAAACTTTATTAAATTTTTTCTATTTGTGAACATTTCTACATAATTCAAAGGTAATTTTAATATATATTTTACAAAGAATTGTTAATATTATGATTTTGGAGGTTGCAGAACATATTAAATTACTTTTAAAAATGAAAAATAATTATATCATTTGATTTCAAGATATTTTTCATATCTTAAAAATAATTAATTATATCCTGGGATCCTGGGAAACAGTTCACTTTTTTCCTGAAATCCCAGGACAAGCAAAAGACCAGGAAACAAGAAACCCTATTAATTATATTTGTTTCTTAAGTTTATTATTAAATAGCATTATTTTTAAGCTACCAATATTTATAGACTTTGAAAAAAATGTAAGTCATATAGTATCATATTCATAGTATATATCTATTATTGCCACAGGATATTTGGAAACAGTTTATTCTTTTGTGAAATTGATATTTTTAGTTAAACAATAACTTTTGTCTACAGTAAATATTAAAATAATATTCACTTAGAGCTAAAGATTGTTTAATAATTAAAGTTTTTATTCAAAAATATTAAAACATAAGAAAACAGAAGTATGAAAATGTGTAAAAAGAGAAATGGTCAATATTACAATGTAATGAAGAACTTAACTAAGAATGAAAGTATTGATATTAACACAACATAAATAATATGTAAGATCTTTTTGGACTAAAATGTAAAATATATCAGGATTATTTAATTTGAATTATTTTTAATTACTTAAATCTAATTTCTTTTGATATTTTCAGTTCAGTTATTTTACCAAATACTTTATCATACCAAATATATAAATTTCAATCAAGTATATTAAATACCAATTTTACAATATGAAAAATACATTAACTGATAAATAAAATAATAATAATACTTTTTAAATTCAACAGTAAGATTATTTCATTCTCTAACTTTATTGATTTTGATATAAGATAAAATCATATTAACTATAACTTATTAAAATAAAATTAGTGTATCCATCTGTGGTCTGAGTAGATAAGAAAAACAGTCTTTTATATATATATAAAAAAACTATATTACATACAAATGTACGAACATATAAAAACCCAGCAAAGTGGGTCCTTGCAGCTAGTTCAATAATAAATGTACAGTATACACATTTATTATTTTGTGAGTTTGTTTCTGTGGAGGGTTTCTTTTTGAGGAATAGAGAGCTCTCTTTATAATATACAATAATTTTCTTTATTTTGCAACCTTTAAAAACATAAAAATTATGGCCTTTAAACAGAAAAGAACTTTCTACTTGTGATGTTACTGCATGTGGTAAATTCATTAAAAATGCACTAATACATTTTATGACTTTTATGTTTGCTTTAAAACACTTTTGAAATCAATTACACATGTCCAATAATATAAATGATAATTAATAGGGTTTCTCAAACAGGATCTCGGCTGTGTTTTTAACCCGGAAAATTCTTCTCATCCTGGGAAATCCTGCAAATTTCTTAAAAGTTCACTTTTTTCTTATTTTGTGTTAAAGTTGAGGAAATTTTGCAAATAAAAGTATAATTAATTCATAAATGGTCAGAATGCATTTGTATTTATTAATTTTAAACCTACTTATTAGTTTTTTAAATTTTTGCTTATTATGGCATGTCATAAGTGGTCAATAATCAATATGTGGCTTATTTGAGGCAAGACTCTGAAAATTCTTTACTTGTCAGAACCTGTAATATCTGGAATAATTGTGCCGATGCTATCGTAATTTTAACTATACCCAGTAGCTTCAATAACTGCATTATGCCAAGTTGTGCAAATTGGGCAAGGATAGAAACAAGTACAAAGTCTGCAAGTATGAAGTTTTTCTTCATAAACCTGATTATTAAAGGCCAAACAAACTGCCAAATTATTGGGCTATAAGCTTGATACCGCTATTAAAGCAGCCAGGATAAACAAATCAAGAATACTTGAGAGCAAGGCTGTGGAGTCACGTAAAAATCTACCGACTCCAACTCCAACTCAGACTTTTCCTTACCATCCGACTCCAACTCCATTTCATATACATAACAAGTTGGTAAGTAAAAAGGGAGTCAAAGTCGGCAGATTTTTTGACGACTCTGACTCTGACTCCGGCCAAAACACCAAAACTCTACGACTCCGACTCTGACTCCACAGCCCTGCTTGAGAGCAAAAGAAGTACTGAGATGCATCTCAAAAATGAACTAGAAATCTTTGAGGCTATGGGTGAAAAAATACAATACATTTAAGAGAAGATAAATGTTACAAAGAGGATATCCATTGAATTGGAAAGGGCACTCTCAGTAGCGGGACTTTTCATTATTAAAATAAGAACTTGATGAAGTGATCGGAGTATTGACCGTTTTTGGTTTTCAAAATCTTATAAAAATTTACAATAATATTTTGTGTTATATTTTATTTAAAAAATGAAAATTACCTTCTAAGTTATAAGCTTGATCTATGTTCATTTTTTCTTTAAATTTTCAACTCAATTCAAAGGCTTTTTTTTTGTAAGCAATTTCCAACAAACTTTATTAAATTTTTTCTATTTGTGAACATTTCTACATAATTCAAAGGTAATTTTAATATATATTTTACAAAGAATTGTTAATATTATGATTTTGGAGGTTGCAGAACATATTAAATTACTTTTAAAAATGAAAAATAATTATATCATTTGATTTCAAGATATTTTTCATATCTTAAAAATAATTAATTATATCCTGGGATCCTGGGAAACAGTTCACTTTTTTCCTGAAATCCCAGGACAAGCAAAAGACCAGGAAACAAGAAACCCTATTAATTATATTTGTTTCTTAAGTTTATTATTAAATAGCATTATTTTTAAGCTACCAATATTTATAGACTTTGAAAAAAATGTAAGTCATATAGTATCATATTCATAGTATATATCTATTATTGCCACAGGATATTTGGAAACAGTTTATTCTTTTGTGAAATTGATATTTTTAGTTAAACAATAACTTTTGTCTACAGTAAATATTAAAATAATATTCACTTAGAGCTAAAGATTGTTTAATAATTAAAGTTTTTATTCAAAAATATTAAAACATAAGAAAACAGAAGTATGAAAATGTGTAAAAAGAGAAATGGTCAATATTACAATGTAATGAAGAACTTAACTAAGAATGAAAGTATTGATATTAACACAACATAAATAATATGTAAGATCTTTTTGGACTAAAATGTAAAATATATCAGGATTATTTAATTTGAATTATTTTTAATTACTTAAATCTAATTTCTTTTGATATTTTCAGTTCAGTTATTTTACCAAATACTTTATCATACCAAATATATAAATTTCAATCAAGTATATTAAATACCAATTTTACAATATGAAAAATACATTAACTGATAAATAAAATAATAATAATACTTTTTAAATTCAACAGTAAGATTATTTCATTCTCTAACTTTATTGATTTTGATATAAGATAAAATCATATTAACTATAACTTATTAAAATAAAATTAGTGTATCCATCTGTGGTCTGAGTAGATAGTCTAATTTAATTTAAATGTGTGTTCGAACACATATTCATTCTTCAGTAGACATAAAAACTATAACTACATATTTAATTAAATTTTTAAAATTAAGCGAGGACAATTTAATTTGTAATAAAGAAATAACTTTCTTTAGTAGACAATACACACAAGATGTGTCTTTTATACAATTAGTCCTTTCTCACGCAGATGAGGGATAAGACAATTCCATGGCAGAGTCAATCTTTTATTTGAGGCTTCTCATCCGCCTCTAAATGCAAAACAGTCCAATATTTCCCGTAGTGGTGGCAGCTTATCCCTCATCTGCATGAGAAAGAACTAATTGTATAAAAGACACATCTTGTATGTATTGTCTACTAAAGAAAGTTATTTCTTTATTACAAATATAATTACATATATTTGAAATTTTAACAAAAGAACTTTGTTTATTTATATTCTTTAATACTTTAAAGCATTTATATTCTTTTCACTCAAAACTAATTCTAAAATTTATTATATTTCAACCAATAAAAAACAATGACACTTTTATAATGCAAGAAATAGTAAATTAACCTAAAACAAAAGCTCAACACTGTTTTATGTTTAAATACAAAATAAAATAGTGTAAGCATGCTACATAATAATAATTTTTACTTGTCTAGAAAATCACAATATGAAAAATTCATTATTCCTAATTTAACATTAAAAAAATCTGTTGAGTTATTTATTTTAATAATTAAAAAAATATATCAGGATTATGTAATTCTATCTAATAATACTACATCTAATCACAATATATCTAATTACCTAAGCATAGAAAATCACACTTAATCAACCAAAAACAAACCAGAAACTGTACATAAGGAACATTCATCAACCATACTTTCAATTTCACTTAGCAAGCTGACATATCATCCAGTGGTAAGACATCAATAACATTGAACTATGGATGATAGCTTAAAATATAAAATGACACAAGATATCTTAGGAAAGTGAAGAATGATGGAACTTCTACATAGAATGCTTAACTAGAACTTATGAAAGTGAAGAGTAGAGAACTCCATTTACACCTATATCCAGGTGACTTTGCCCATATCCTTGGCTATCAAGAGCATACTAGCAAGCAACATCTTTAAAAAAAAAAATAATAAAATATTTTTCATTTGAAAACTGAAATTGAAACTATATCCAAACAATCTAGGAATATATATATGTAAACTTCTACTGTCATCCATCTGTCTGTCAGTTTTTCCTTAATCTTAAGAACAAAGCTAGGCAGATGAAAGTCGAGACCAGATATGGAAAACTTAGGGGCAGGAGGCCCTGATTAACTATATATGAACTTCTGATGAAAATCAAAAGTTATGTTATTTCAATTAAAAAATTTTCTCCTGAAAGGAGTTATATACATGACTGGCACAACTCTATTGCTATCAGGACAGTATGATGTAAAGGGACAAGCCATCAGTAATTTGAGGTGAAAAGCATATATTTTAAATTAAATAAATTAAAAATATGATTAAAAGTTGCAGCCCAGCATTGTGATGATGTTACAATATATATATATTTCTTAAGTAGAATATATTTGTAAATTTGCAAAATACCTTTTATCTTTAATATCTTCTAAATAATAAAACTAAAGTTAATACAGTAGAGTTTCGTTTATCCGAAAGTCAATTATCCGAAAGAATTCCAGTCAGAAAATTTAAATATTCGGCCAGTGCTGTAGCACTGCAATCTTTGGCTATGTCTTGGGCTACCCAAATATTTTACATTTTTGATACTAAATTAACTTCTGAAGTATAATTTTTTATTGTTTTTATATTTTTCAATATATTTATTTTGTTTGTACAAAATAAAAAATAATTTTTAACGATACAATAGTCTTCGTTAGGCTTAACATTGACGAAAATTCAACGCGAAGCGATACGCAACAGAGAAAAATTTCAACATGGGATAGGTTAATATATTTTTTCGTACATAATTGGTTATCCGAAATATCGATTTTCCGAACAATCCCAGTCCCCAATTGATTCAGATAAACGACGCTCTACTGTAATACTATTTTTCATAAGAATCTTATTTTTCATTATAAAAAAATAACTGTATTTTTAAAAAATACAATTATTTTTTAGTTTAAATTTAATGTAATAAACAAATTTAATTTAAGTTAAATGTAATAAACAAATACTAATAATATCAATAGTTATAATTAGTTCACTTAATAATATGAAGCAGAATTTCATGTTCTCATCAATTTCAACTTAATGAGAATCTATATTTTAAATTATCTTCAATTACAAGGAAGAAAATAAATGACAGATATACAAAGATAATTCAGAAAATGAAAGTTAAATAATCAAAATCTAAAGTAAAGCAAATATTAACATGACACACAGCGAATTCATGTTCTCCAATGTATGTTTAATATTAGTGCAAAAATAATTCTTCAAAATGTATAAAGTATTGTAAAATAATCATAATGTATTGTAAAATAACATACAATTTGTGTGTGCAAAAATAATAGGAAAAATTAAAAATAAAACATTATAAATAAAATACTGTAGAACAGATTTAAAATATTTTCAGAATCTTCAAAGATATCATAATGTTTATAAAAAATACTTATTTAGAGTAATACAAGATATTTTTTGAAATAAATTTGTTGTTAACCATTAAAATAAAATATAATTTTTTAAACAAAAATAATTAGAAAATTAATATTGTATATGCAATTAACAATAGGAACTGGATTTAGTATTAGTAGTTATTAATAAATCAAAATAAATAATTTTGATTTAATGAACAACTAATTTTTATGCAAGAAATAATAGGAAAAAAAATGTCCACTATATGGCAAACCATCATATATGTTATGAACATGTTCTTGGAAACTGTGACCAATGTTCCTCTAATTCTTTTTGTAGCTGAGCGGAACATGTACTTCTCTGTACAAAAAATAATTTTGCTGAGCAGATTCTGAGCAAAAAAATTTTCTGAGCATATATATATATATAATCTTATTTTTTCCTATAAAAATTAAAATAATTAATTATAAAGTAGAGATTAAAATTCATTTTAAAACATACTTCCATACAAAATATTATCCTTTGCCAATGATTTAATGTATTTAATCGAAAAATACGTAGCAATGATCATATTGCAGACAGAGTGAGAAATACGTAAACAACAATTCAAATCAGTGTGGATGCTTGCCTGCACGGCGCACAAATTCTCGTGTGCAGCAACAATTTGAGTAGTGCGCAGCTGTGCAGCTTAGAGGGAACATTGACTGTGACACAAACAAAACAATGTATAATGAAACCAATTTTACAGGCTAAATGACAAACAAGATATAATTCAGTTAATATTATTCTAACTGGATCATGTTTGTGACCTCTAGAATTTATTTTCCACCTCATAAAATCAATTTACTATCTATAAAGAAAATTCAACAATAATAATTTTAAATGATTACAAATGGACTTGTATCTTTCTCCAACAACATTAAAATAAAATGGCTTTACATGAAGACTTGCTATACTACTTTATGAATCTTTTATTTAAATTCCATTTGAGCAGTTTTTATCTAGCAACCATCTTGTCCTAATAGGACTAATTCTACATTGATTTAATAAGTTCATTAATTACTGTTAAAATCCATTCAACATTCATGTTAATTTTAAAATATAAGACTTTTATATTAAAGATTTTCAAGTCATATTTAAATAAATGAATAAAAATAAACAATTTCTTCCAATTTTAACAAAACTGACCAAATTTTTAATTATATAAAATATAATTAAAATATTTTTACATATTACAGTAATATATTCTAATTTTATTATTATTGTTATGAAGAGTTAATTTAAAAAGTATATCATTCATTTATAAGAATTCCTCATTTAAATTTTGATATTCTTCAGTATAAATTTGAGAAATACATCATATGTCATTAATATAATAAATTAAAATATTTTGAAAATAATTAAAATTAAACTTACTTGGATAGGAAGTGAATACACAGATGCATTGCTAGAAGGTGTTGTTATGGGACTTGAGATAACCACAGAATACTGTGGAATTTGTACTGAGGATGACACATCAAAATTTCTGTTTTCTTCTTGATAATTGTGTGTTACAGGATACCCATATGGTTCCTTTAAAATTAAAAAATTTAAAAATGAAATGGAGTTATTCTATTAACAATTATTTTGGTATAACAGTGTTCAATAGAAACTTGATAATAGCCACAGCTCTTATTTTAATTCTTTTTAATTGTTATATGGTTAATTTAACCTAAGAAAAAACTAAAAATATTAGCAATATTTTTAGTTATCTTATTTATTAAAGTAATATCACAGAAATACTACATTTTCCAACAAATTTTTTTAAACAGATTATTCATTTATTTAAAAAAATTAAAATATAATTAAACTTTTTTTTGTTCATGCATTGACTATAAAGCAATAACTAATTTATTTGTTAGATATAGCTAATGGCAAATATACTAAGCACTGCAATCTTATTACTATAATAATTAAATTAACTAATATTATGTATTTCAAAGAATTATTTTTTAGAAATAATTTGTTTCACAAAATATTTTCAAAAATAAAATACTTCATAACAACATAAATTTACTTCACTAAATTATATTTAGTAAATTTTTGACAAATTTTTGTTATACAGTACTGCATAGTTTTTCCAGTTTGGCAGGTTTCAGTTTTAAACAGAAAATTATTGTGTTCCTAACAATTTTCTAATTTAGACAGGTTTCCGTTTTATTAAGGTTTCCCTTAAACAGGTTTTACTGTATATATATATATATATATATATATATATATATATATAAAGAACCTCTTTTTATTGCATGAAAAGTTAGCAACTTAAAACAGAATATGCTATCATAGAATACAGTTTCTATAAACTAACACTCTATTGAAGCACAATCTTTATATTAATTGAAGAAGCCTAATTAGTTTAGATGTATGTACTGTACTTTTGCAACTGTTTATTAAAATTCTATTGCTTAATGATGCAAAAAATTTTTTTATTAACTAATAAGCCAATTCAATTCTTTATTAAACCATATAGGTTACTCCCTATCGTGTTAACTAATACCACAAGTCTAACATACATCAATTTGTAGATATACATAAAATTTAAGTTATAAAATTCAGGATAGTCTAATAAAAATCAAACTTAAATGAAAAATCAAAAATTACAGAAACTGACCTAACAGCAAAACTGATTTTTAAAATTCCATTCTGATAATATTTGAAAATTGTTATCTTCAAAGAATGTGATTAATAGTAAAATTATTATTTTGAAATTGTTCTACTGTTAAAATTATTTTAAAATTAAATTTTATGTAAGCTGAAAATGACCCAAATTAGATCTGAAAACTCTAATAATTTTTTTTAAAATTCAGAATTGTGTGTTTTACTTTACTAAAATTTAAAGATATATCTATTATTGTTATATTTGTTGTCCACTGACTTCCAAATAATTCCTAGTAATTTATCAACCCCTAGATAAATAAACCACTTGGGAAGTTATAAGTAATCATATTGTGAACCCAGGCAAAACAATTATTCTTATTAATATTTCAGGATGTTTCAGGAAAGTTTTAAAAGATATTCTGCATTATTAAAAATAATTTATTATTGTTGTTAAATAACTATATTATAAACTGTAAAAAATAACATAGAATTGGTATGCATTCTTATATTCTCTTTTCAACTCTCAATATTTTAAAAAGTTATAATAAATATATTAAATTCAGCACTACTTTATTATTCTACAATTCTGATGTCAAAAAATATCATCACATTCTTGTTATTACACTTTCAACTTTTTAAAATAAATAATAAAAAAGATTAGTAAATTGAGAAATTAATAACACTGAATTTAGTAAAATACCAAATTATGTTTATGTAAAACCTTGGAAATCCATATTTTTCTATTTGAAAAATACACAAACATTGATATTTTTAAATGTGAATACACACATTTATAAATGCAAATTTTTCTAATAAATATTTGTTTATTTCTTATAAATACTAAAAAATAAAGAAAATTAAAAACTTATCATAAACCTTCATTTTTAAAATTTTACAAAAATTAAAACACTGAAATCTCAAATTAAGATTAACTTTCAAAGGTAATAATTGTATTTATTATAATCCTACATTCTGATACTAAAGACTACAATAAGAATTAATAATTTTTTAATAAGTTATATGGTATTTATGGTCCTATATTTAATCATATATTAAATCAAAATTTCATAAATTTAGGCATTTATAAGTTTATTAGTTTGTTAAACTGATCATGACAAAGCAAATAACTTACAAGAAAGAAGTATTATATACATAATTATAAATGCAATTTTATAGTTATATATATAATACTTTCTCATATTAATAAAGGTGAGTTAAATAAGTAATGAAATAATCATAAAGTAGGGCCTACTAGTTCTATTCAGTGAGCATGTTCTGTAATGATGACATTTCAAATGAAACCCTTAATTAATTAATTAATGAAATTCATACAGGAAAGAACTAGTTTCATGTCATGAAGAAAATGGCATCTGGCTATACCAATATTTCTAAATTCACTTGTGTATAAATTTGGCATCAGAAGACAAAAATTATAAAAATAAATGTATAAGCAATTTGAAAAAACACTTCAGCTATGACTTTACTAGTAACATGAACCATTTCAGATTTAGAAACAACCATTATTTTAGATACTGTCAAAATGTCCAATAAAAATAAGAAATAATGACCATGCTATTCTTATTTAATTCGTTTAACTTTATGGCAAAATAAGAGTTTTTGTTTTCATTTTAAAAAATATCTTAATAATTATCAAACTGCTATAAACTGAAATTATAAATACAACATTAAATGTTACATTTAATTGTGTCTGCAAATGCTAAATTTATTGTATATTATTATATATTATTAAAAAAACCAACTAACTGTAGTTAGTTGTTTTTTCACATAATAATCTGCAATCAGCAGTGTTTTATAAAATATTGTATACAATCTGTTTTTTATTATGATACATATAATGACATTTCTAATTTTATAAATAAAAGCATTTTTAAAACAATATTACTGATTGTTCTCAACTATTCATCCTTTTCCTGAGGAGGGCAAAACATTTTGTTTTAATACTTAACACAGTTTAATTTTATACATTATTCATAACTAATTCACTAAGTTAAGGAATACTTCATGTCAAATTTTGAATGCTTTTAAATGTGAATTTTAACATTGCAAAACATTTTAAATATCATTTTATATTTTACTGAATTAATTTAAAAATTTCAAAGCAAGCATTTGTTTTAGCTTGTTGAATTTCTTATTTTTTAATCAAGTAAGTACTGCTAATTACTTTCATTAAAAATATATATACTAATAAGTAGGTTAATCCATCAACTGAAATACTTGCTGAATAAGTAGGATTAAACATCTTGTTAATTAACTTTTAATATATAATGTATTAGTATATTTAGTCTATCCTTATTGATTCTATGATTATTTTTATTTCATTCTTGTACTAATGTTTATTATTTGGATACTTCAACTAGTACTATAGGAGAAATATTTTTATTGATCTTTTACCTTATAGAAAAAATTAGAGATAGACAAATACTACTAGAAATACTAGAAAGTATTCAATATTACAGATCTCAAATATAACATTGATAAAAATAAATACGAATACTACAAGTACTTCCAATATTGTGCTATATGTACTGTACAGTCGCAATGGCAGATCCAGAAATACTTAAAAAGCAGCAAACTCAAAAATTAAGAATATTTGAATAATTAATAAGTACCTTTTATTAATGTGTGCACAACAACTGTATTGCAGATAGTTCAATAATTTATGAAAATTTACCATTAAAAAAAATTATTTGTCTTAAACTTAAAATATACATCATCTATAGCTATTAATAATAATATGATATTTTAATAGATTTAAATGCAATACATTAATAATTGTTCACAATCTATTAGAAAGGCTGTGAGTGTATAACATGATATAATTTTTTAGATGTTTCATATTAAGAAATCAGTTTCACTTACAGAATAAAATCACCAATATCGATTTGGAGCTGTTGACATTTACCAAAAATTTTTAGCAGAATTTTTTGATTAAGTAACATATATTTCCTTTTTGAATTAATATTTTTTATTTAATCTATGCTTTTAGTTGATGTTTAAATTATAAATGCAAATTGCATTATGCATTTTTTTTATCATCAGCCTTAACAGATATAACAACAAATTTAAAAATAATGTTTAGTTTTTACCATAGGTATGTGATATTTTCTATTATATTGAGAAAACTATATGGTGTTTTCAAGAAGACTGGAAAAAATTCATACCCTATCTTAAGAGGTTCAAAATGAACAAAAAAGTCCCAATAAACATATGCCTATTAATAAGCCATTCTCAAATTACATGAAGTTTTAACAAAGGTTAAATTTTAGAAGAAGCATATCTTTGAGGTCATGTGAATACTTTAAGCATTGATATAATGTTAATAATGAAGAGCAGTTCCAGAAAAGGATTGGACATCTTTAATTCAGCCGTTGCATCCTTGAATTCTCAGGTATTATCCATTTTCCTCTGATTCCACTTTCCGACTTCTCTCTCCTCGTCACCTGGTGACAATTCAAAACCTTTCAGGAGCACAGGAGAGGTCAAAATCGAAGTTTAATTCGATTCCCATCCAGAGATAGTCAATCTTTGTTTTTCCATTGTTCTATTATTTAAAAGTTCTTAAAAGTTTGCGTCGTTTTCATTAAGAAAAACTATTTCTAACTTCTATCTTTTCTCAAAAAAAAGAGATAATTTTGTCCTTAAATATAAATAATTTTAACGTAAATTTCAGTGAAGTTCAGACCTGTCCAGAGCCTCACATAATGAGGCTCCATAGAGATGCATTTGAACATGTCCATGAATGCATCTCTAGCTTCATCATCTGAGAAGTGTAAGCCACCAAGATATTTCTTAAGTCCAGAAAGATAAAAATCAAAGGGTGCTGTTTGGACTATGCACAGGATGGTCCATCACTTCTCAATCAAAATTTTTTAGCCAGTCTGAAGTTTGGTGTGAGGTATGGAAAATTGCATTAT